TACGGAAAGAAGAAAACTCTGAATCATTGTCTTTTAAAATAAACTGTAAATGTTAGAGATGTGGAAATCTGCAGCGCAAAATGTCGAACATTCAACTATTTGCAAGCGAATTAGTTACCTGATATGTGTTACAAATAAAGAGTTGAGTATTAAAGTATCATGTTCTTCAATCGCTTCTAACGTTGATATGTTTTTTTCCCCAAAAATTTCAGTCCTTCAATGCATTATTCATAGAGACGAGTGCAAAGGATGGATCGAATATCCAAGAGGCGGTTTCCGAATTAGGAAGGTATTAATTACTTTTATTATTATATCGTTATGATTTTCATTTTATCATTGTCATTTTTATTGTCATTGTCTGTCATGTTCATTGACATTTTCATTGTCATTGTTAATTTCATTGTCATTGCCATTGTTATTACCATTGAGAACAGCTTAGCTCAGTCGGCTAAACTGGTGGAGTAGCCACTGTGTGTGCGCTCAACAGTGGGAATCTCAAGGTCCCCTGTTCAATTCCCATCGCTGCTCTTCTCGTGTTTCAGCTGGAGGACTAAAATGCAAGTTACGATAGCGCACCGTCGTCTTTCGGATGTCACGTTTAAGCCGTTGGCCTCGTGTGCATTATGGCCCGTTTTCACGTTAAAAACGCGACGCTACACTTAAAGAAAAGAAACTTTGGGCACGGCGGCTCAGGGTTGGCATGGGAGGTTTACAAAGGAGCCAAATGCGTAGGCGTGTCTTGAATATTCTTGATAATTACTAATGTTATTATAATCCTCTCCGTAGACGTTTGCGACAAACAGAAGATATTGAAGTTCAGCAGAGTGGTTTGAAATTAACTGATGGTTCGTCCGGCAAGAAAGATTCGAAGTGCTGTGACTTCTAGATATTCATAACCCGTGTGCTTTGCGACGCAAATATGCGTCAGAAACGCGTCTTCCCATATTGTTTATCTTCCTATTATTATTACAGCAGTCTTCCCTCGTTACATGGTCACTGTCTTTTCAGCAAATTTTATATAATATTATATATTTTTTATTCAAATTCTGATATGGTGGCTTAGTTATTTCCTCTTCGTTTAACAGTAACTGATAAGTTATGATGACGATAAAGAGTGTTTCCCAAAGTGAAATTTAATGGTTTGATTTATTAAGTGCGAGGAGACATCGGAAATTTCTTCCATTAAATATCATACTTTGGGTCAGGAAATGGGCAAAAAAGTATTGTACACCATTGTGTTATTTTAAAGTGGTGTTTTTACTGCGGCTGATACTGGCGTGTCATCATCATGCGTTATGATGTAATGAACGCGTATTAGTGGACGCAGCTAGATGCAAATGAGACTACGGGTTGCATCACAGTAAATCACGGTATTAGTAGTAGTAGTTCTGTAGTTCCATTTACAAATTAGGTAAAAGCAGGGCCAAAATGAATTAATAATCAACTCGTTAAAATATTGTTTTGCGTTAAACAGATACGGATTTTTTTTTTTTAAAGTTGGTACGAGTTTGGTAAAAATAAGTATTTTTAAGACAAAAACTAAAATGCGATGGAAATTTATCGATTGATATTTAGAGAACTAGAAACCAATTGAGTTCGATAGAAAGAGTAGTGTTATTATGACTTTGGCCTAAAAAGACTGCCGTCATAGTGACTCTTCTATCTTATTTTCCCTTTCAAGCATAATTATTACATCATTGGATTTTTATTACGAACGCATGAGTTCTTTGCTATTGTAAATATTAAATACTATTTTTAATACTTTCCTCGGGTTTTACCTTGACAGGAGTGATATTGTACATATATATATAC